ATACAATTCAACAGTTCAATCATATCTCAAATACCATCCATAAAGTAAATGGCTCACACTTAGACTAGAACAAACTGAGCACCAGAAGCTTAAATGTTTAGTGCCCCCATTTTCCTAATAGTAACATCCCCTAACTCCCAAGAATGGAGAGTTAGCAAAAGGAAACTCTCTGAAAATCAGTTACATTTTTACATCAGATAGCTATCAGATTGGCACAATTCCTAATAGGGACCTCAGTGGAAGTTAAAGGGGTGATACCATCTTTCCAAAGAAACTACTTTAAGAGAAATTAATTGTGCCAAAATTTTTCTCTTCAGTTTCCAGACCTTCTATATGGAAAGGTTACCTCCTGGACTGGACTGTCAAATAGGAGTGAGTAGTTAGTAGCTGGTGAAATATCTTGTGCTGTCTGGGGAAACACTCAGGAGCCAAGAGAAGAGCAATTTTTTTTATCAATTTACAGTCACAAAGTAGACCCCATTTTGATCTCAGGGCTAGATTCTAGAAAGAGAGTTGGAGAAAATAAGTAAATTGAACATTAATAAAGATTGACTAGCTTTATGGTAATATCCAATTAGTTGAGATTGCATTTTTTTTAATCTCGGGGACTTCAATCTTGTCAGTCTAATAAAATCAATTCAAAGACTGTGTAGTGTGTGCATTCTGGCAAAACAGCTAAGGGATCTGTGATGTTCCTTTGGAAAGCATTATGCAAGTGGTTTATAAGCCCTTTGTGCTTCTGCTTGCATCACTTCTCAAAGATTAGCAATGACTATGATCCTAATGCTGATTGCCAAATAGGGCTCCCCAGAGTGAATGCTTTGATGTAATTAGAGCTAGAAGCTCCTCCTTTTCCATTACCAGAGATTAGAGTGCTTTATGTTCTTCATTATCTTGAATCTATTTCCATGGATGTTTTCTTCTCCATCCTGAGTGGCGACTGGGGTGTTACAAGAGCTTAGTACATTACCTGATCAATAGGTGGACTTTGAGTTTGCTTTCCTGTGGGCTTATCGTTTCTGTGTCTGAAACACTGTATTTCAGTGGGATGAGAAAATCAGTCCCAGACAACAAAGTGCTTTGGGCTGTTAATTAAAGAACAGGCACTATCCATTAAGGGCGATAGTGCAGCCCATTGCTTTGCTTGGTGGCATACACCTAAATCTCAGCAAATGCTGTCAGGGAGGCTGTCTACATTTACCCTAGGAAAAGATAAATCCCTGGTCTTCTTGACATTGCTCTTAATGGATTTTAGGTCTCTTTACTTAGCAGGCAGTCACTGCAGAAGAACCAGAGCTTCTAAATAGGGTGATGGCTTCCTCACAGAACCTTAAGTTCCCATGAATATAGTCAGGGGAAAGAGGATTGGGGTTTGGGGAGTGACATGTAACTGCAACAGCCACACAATTTCTTTAGAATAGCTCGATGAATCTAAACATAGACCCAACTGAAAAAAACTAATTTTTCTTAAAGTGATTATTTGCTTCATGAAAGGATCCTGTGCCATCCATCCCACTGACATCAACTCAATTCCAACTCATAGCAACCCTACAGGACCGACTAGAACTGCTCATTAGCGTTTCTGAGACGGTCAGTCTTTATGGGAGCAGACAGCCTCATCTTTTTCTTGAGGAGCTGTTTGTAGGTTTGAAGTGCTGCTGACCTTGCAGGTAGCAACACAACACTTAACCCACTGTGTCACCAGAGCACTGTCCTTTACCATAAAACCCCCAAAACCAAACCTACTGCCATTGAGTTAATTCAGATCCATAGTCACCCTATACAGGGTTGCCATGGCTTGGGAATCTTGAGGGCTGCAGACAGCTTCATCTTTTTCTTGTGGAGCACCTGGTGGGTTAGCAGTCCAACACTTATTGGACAGTGAAACCAGGGCTCATTATCATCAAATTCCATTAAATTCCCTTAAACTTCATAAGACTTTTATTCTAAAACAAAGTTTTGTTGTAAAGGCTTTGATATGAAAACATACCTCTAACTATATGAATGCTCTTGAAAATTCCTTGTCTTTTAATCAGTGACAGGATTTTATGTAGACTATGGTCAAAGCCATTCTTCACTGCTACAGATTCTTCTAAGTAAAGCAAGGAGCCAAGAGTTGAGGTCAGCTCTTAGATTTTATTCTACTCTGAATTTGTGGTAGAACTTTAGGAAGTTACACAATTAGAATTAGAAAATGTGGAAATTAGAATTAGAAAATTAGCAAATAAGAATAAGAATACAATGACTACTATTTATTGGGAACCAATTAAGTGCTACACACTGTACCATATGCAATATAGACAGTATATTATGTGTCATATATTACATGTGGTATGGAATAGCATCCTTATTTTACAGAAGAGATAAAAGATTCTCTGAGATGATGTACTTTCCCCAAGGCCATGCAGAGAATGAATAACTGTGGTAAGATTGAATCTAGGTTTACCTGTTCCTCGTGTATGCCCTTCCTCTGTATATCTGATGTGCTGACCTTTAGCAGTTCACTTACCTTCATTCAGCTAAAGAGTTCCTTTTGTATTATCAGAGGCATACAGTAGGTCAGAAGCTTTTAGCTACACATTAGAATTAACTGGGGAGATTTTATAAAGAAGAATCAGTGCCCAGGCTGCATCTAAAGTAATCAACTCATACTTTCTGGGGTGAGCCCCAGGCTTTGTTTGTTTATTTGTTTGACTCCCAGGTTGATTTTAATTTGTCACTAGAGTTAAGACTGACTAAACGTATCATGTCTACAATCACTTGTACGTCTTAAAAACTCAGAAGCGTAAGTCTCAGACAAGTTTTGGCCCTCATCTTCCTCTTTTTTTACCTAAAACTGCAACTTCTTCAGTGGCTGTGACGAAGACATTTATGGTTCTCATCTTTTTTTGTCTATACTTCTTGTATGGAATAAAATCCAATACAAAAAAACTCTTGAGAATACAAGTGGGCTTCAAAAAATTAAGGAAAAATATCATTATCTTTTCTTTTCCTTTTCATGAATCTTTTAAAGTTTCCTTGCATAAGCATTTAAAAAACTTACAAGAAAATATTTAAGGTCCTTGATTCTCTCTATCTCTTTTATTGATTATAGAGGGAGGAGGAGGGGCCATGAGACATTAATTTTTCTGAATCGTACCAATAAGACAGACATTGGTAGCAATGTGAGGAAGCTAGAGGTGCTGATACCCAAGGAAGCTCCCAAATCAACTGCTTGCCAACTTGGATAAGCTGGGGGCCTTGACCTAATCTACAAGTGAGGCTCATTTAGTTGTTTGTTGTTGTTGTTGTTTTCGAATTTTATTTTTTTTATTTTTTTAACATTTTATTAGGGGCTCATACAACTGTTATCCCAATCCATACAAACATCAATTGTGTAAAGTGCATTTGTACATCGTTTCTCAAAACATTTTCTCTCCATTTAAACCCCAGACATTAGGTCCTCATTTTTCCCCTCCCTCCCCGCTCCCCCCTC